CCAGCTTATTACAGCTATCATGATGCCACAATGCATGAACTATTCAATATGGACTTCGACTTATCAAACGAAGAAGCGACTCATGAAAATATACAAAGAAAAGACACGGCTGTGAGTTCACAAACAAAAGAGAAACCAACTACACAAAAGAAAATGTATTGGTAAGCGTAGTCCAACAGATATTAAGAAGAGTAAACCAAAAGAAACGAAAGAGAAGAAGCACAACGGTTAAAACTGTACAAAAGACAATATGATCTGTCGTATAATGACCAACACAGTCATAGTTTGTTAAGTCATGCTGTTGAGCCAATATTTTACAGTTAACATCGAACCACCGACATATTTACACTTTTGCGCCGTTGCTTCGAACATCATGAATTATTGACAGCGCTAAATACCTGTCAGCACCAACGGTTAACAGACGCGTCCATTGTAAATGTCAATGAACTGCTAATTCCAATCAAGTTGAATAGAAATCATTGTCTATTAGCCGTGGTTGTCCATCCTAGAGCTCATGAACCGTATATTAGAATCTATTACATCAATCCACTAGATCACTTACGAGGGAACGTTCTCAGGTGTCGGATTCCGATTTCCTTCGTTCAAATGCCGATTGATAGATCATATGGAGATATGAAAAAGCCTAAAAGGATAGCGGCGTAGTTTGCTTCCTTCATAAGTTATACGCGTTTTTCTAATTTTCCCAGCGGAAAATCCAAGAAATTGAAAAGTTCATAACTCCGTCAAATTTTTGAGTATCCGCTTGAAACTTTTACACAAGATATCTATCCTAATCTAGTATTTACGCTGAAAGTTTCAGCCTTCAAACATGTTTCATTTCAGAGATATGGAATTTTTCGTGTATCAAGGAATAGTTGTCAGTATTACCTCATCGCTTCGAGAGTTATTTGGGCTTATATTTATTTATGTTCAGCTTTTGAGAACTTTTCTGAATCGCTGGCGCTCACTGTAATGTCTGTCATCCTTCGATCCCAGGAGAAGTCTCACGTTAGAACTGCCGGAAAGAAGTTTTTCATATATGAACATCAACCTTTTATTGCCACATGAACTATGTACAAACTTTAAAGTCTGCAAAATGAAAATCAACTTCTGCCAACAAGTAACAGGCTTGAACAAAAAATGTTAGAGTTCAGTGATAATGGTAACTATAATGGTAAAAAACTCGGTAAAGCAAAAAACTTTGGAACAAAAAGCACATCTTATAAAAGGAATGTTTGTACAGTTCTGTGTGTGACATCGATTCGACTCAAAAGCGAAACAAATCTGTTGTACATTATCGAACGGACCAGGATTTGTCTTCATATATCCCGACTGATATCAGCTATAGCGAGTCATCGGCTGAAACTTCGGGGAACTAATCTGATTGTATGCGAGGGAGCTAAACTAAAATCAGCTGATTAGAAAGAAAAGATAAAGTGTATTTGAGGAATAACCACAGACAGCTGTTTTTCTGTCTCTATCCCTTAAAAAAATGAAACATTCCATATCTCTGAAATGAAACATGTTTGAAGGCTGAAACTTTCAGCGTAAATACTAGATTAGGGTAGATATCTTGTGTAAAAGTTTCAAGCGGATACTCAAAAATTTGACGGAGTTATGAACTTTTCAATTTCTTGGATTTTCCGCTGGGAAAATTACAAAAACGCGTATAATTTATGAAGGAAGCAAATTACGCCGCTATCCTTTTAGGCTTTTTCATGTCTCCATATGATCTATCGATCGGCATATGAGCGAAGGAAATCGGAATCCGACACCTGAGAACGTTCCCTCGTTAGTTCCTCAAGATGTACGAAATGCTATACACTCGGGTATAATATCAACGAACTCTGCTATTATCGAACGAGTTGGTTTAGTATTACAACATGATGGTTATAACTGCGGTCTGTGGCTAACTGAATGCGCCACTTCTTCGCTACAAACTCGAGACGTTAATCTCAGCACACTACAGACAACTGGTATCACACAAAAACGTCAAGTACAAGAAGATTATCTCTTTCAATCATTTATTCATAGTCACTATGTATCACAGTTTGCTCACATTCACAAAAGATGTGTGCAATAAAAAGTTTCTCCGTTACACATTTCCAATTATCTTTCAAAACAACTGCGAGACATCAGGAGGACGATACAATGTTTGTGGAAAGAAAAACATAGATAGAATATCGGGAACAGATTCCATATCTTCTTGAAAATTTTACTATATGAGTAACATAAAAAAGCGAGGAAAAGCTAACGTAAATTCTGTCAAACTATCTAATTTTGCACAGGACAAGAAACAATATTTACTATAACAGAGAAGCGATAGCCGTTGTAGCGCACGGGTAGTGTACTAGTACATTACAAAAGAGATAAAACTGATATACACAAAAAAGTCCGTTTTCTTACACATGGTCGCTCAATGCGGTGCCAACCCTTTTTCTCCATACCTCTTTTCTGTGTTTGGCTCCTCCATCATCCTTTACATTCTTATTTGTTGGTTTACTCACTTGGCTAGTTCAATGTTGATTAATGTTCACGTAAATATTAATGTATCTTCATCGATCTAATTCGATAATGTGTAATAATCGAGAAATATTTATTGCGTAATCTTTTCATTAGCATCATCTATTTTGTATCAACCTCGAAATACATGAACAAAAAAGAAACGTACAAACATGTGTATTATTAACATTGGAAATGGGCCCGGATACAATCTAAGAAATTCTAAAATATTTACAATAGAAAGAAGAGAACTATACGAGTGGAAACATTAAACGAACGTTTTAGCTTGATTTTTGTACTCATAAAAACACAATTATTATTATTGTTGATGTTTTTCTTTTTTCGATTGAAAATAAAATAACTTCACTATAGAAGATCAAACTTACAGCAATATCGAGCCTAAAACAAGAAAAAATCCACAAAGCAAATAGATTCTAAATTAGTTTAGGAAAAACCAATATACTTATCTAAAAAGCAGAGTAATTGTTCGCTTTTCATCAAAGAATAAATATTATATGGCTTTCTAAAACAAAACAAAAAAGCAAAAACAACTTCCAATTTTCCTTTTTTCAGATACCCGGCCCGCTTATTTCTGACTAATCTTATAACGTAATTAATCAGTTAATCAACCAATAAAAAAACGCAAATAGCCATCCATGTCACTCGTTCATACGAAAAAAAAATGCATCTCTACTAATAGAGATGTAGTATTAATACTCTGGAGTGAGAATTCTCTCTCCTTTCTTACCATCACTAAGTATCTTACACGAAAAATTGTTTTTTAATAGTCAGCCACTGGTGCCAGCTATCTCTGATTGCACGGATTTATTAGACAAAAGACGATCCAAAAAGTAGAGTAGCTGTAGATGATACATTTCATGATGTTGTTTATGCATTATTCAAGTTAAAACAGGCTCATGTGATCCCAGGAAATTATATCTCAAAATAATCAAAATACAATAGACTGTATGGTTCTAAAATATAATTTTAACAGGAAAAACATGAGGGAATACGCTTGATCGTTTTATCACTTTTGATAAACGATCATAAAAAAACTACGATTGAATCACTGTGATATTTCAGATCATTCTGTGGAGCAGCTCGCTAGATTTTGAAAATCATGCAGAATGGTGAAACTCAGCTTAATACCACAGATTTTTTCAGTTTTATTTCCAGTGAGTAGTGAATCCTAGATGAAAGTCTATTAGTGGTTGAGAAGTTTATTTAAAAATTTAGATTCCTAGCCTATAATGGTGCGTAAGATGGCGTTCTGGTTCAGTCATGTAGAGAACTTTTTCATGAGATACTACATTGATGAAACCGATAATTAAATGAATAATTTCATCTTTAATTCGTCGTCGAAAGTTATAACTGCTTATAAAGTTATATATTATCATCCTCGTGATGGAGCTATCTCATTTTGCCATTGAGTTAGATTAATGGCGAATTATACACTGGCATTTTTATTCTTGCTGCATATATACGAATATGCTCTCTTGTCTGTTCTGTTGATTTTTTGTTTATTTCACGATCGATGCCAATTGCTTTTCTGTTGTTAGGTGTAGACAGGAAAGGCAAACGAGCCATAAATTATAAAAAAAAAGTCTATCTGTGATTCACGGATAGACTTAGCTGTGATTCACAGATAGATTTAGAGGCGTAGCTAGCATGTCAGAGCAGGGGGGTGGTCCTGCCAAAAATAGTTTTCATTCTTCTAGAAAAAAAATGTTTTGAAGAATAAAATACACAAAATAGTAACTTTTTCTGAAACCAGAGGGTGGTAACCATTTAGTAGGCACGCCCCTGTCCGTGATCTGCCACTCAAGCATTTTCGTTTAAACAGTATGTAGTGAGTATTTATCATCTCAGTATAAGTTAAGAATATGACAGTTAGTAATTTTTAGGATAAATTATACCCGTTCAAAAAAAGTATACGGACAATTTACAATGAACTGTTGTACACTTTGTTGTTCTAGTGTTTTTACTGATATATGACAAGAGCAAAGTGAATGTTCACTCTAAAACAAAGTTATTTACACTACTCAGTTTTAAGGGAAAGTGTGAACTAACCCAAAAAGCTGTAGAAAAGTTTTAGAAACTCGTTTTTTCCAATATTCTCATTAGAAATATTGATGATTTTGTCTGAACTATGAAGATGGTTTGATTCACAAAATTGACAAATAGTAGCGCTCTATAAACTCTTACGTTTTTTAATTAGTTTTAATTGCAAGTGGTAAGAAAAGAACACTAAAATCAAGAATGAGATTTTTTTACTCGTTTGACAGCAACTTTTTTCATCAAAATCAGGATATATATGGCGACATATTGAGTCAAGTTTACCTTCAAAAATATCAATTGATAACTTCTTTTCTTCTCACAGGTACTCTTTTTAATTAATTAAAATGAATTTCTTTTAGAAGGTACATTGACTTTTATGTGCTTATTCTTGCGCTTTGTTTCTACTTGCAGATGTTTTCTTGAATCTTTTAACACATAACATGGCTGAGTCGTCTCGTGGAGACAGTATTCGTGTAGCAAAAACATCTCGTTTACGTAAATGTACAAAATATGTTAAACGACGTTTACCATCATCGATTGCTTGGCTCATCTTACTTGGTCTGTCTGCAGTTTATTTCATCTTTGTCTGTCCGTATGTGACACGACACGTTTCACTTGTCATACCCATTCTTCAGTCGATTGTTCTTCTCTTCGCCATTATGAACTTTTTACTTGCCACATTTATGGATCCTGGCAGATATGAGAAAGCAACACATGATGAAAATGATCAAGATGAAACCACATTTTATAAAACAGGTAAGTTGTGTCCATTAATAGATAACAAAACAAGTTGTCCGTTTAAAGCGAACATTTTTTTCCGATAACGATACTGCTTAGCATAGATACGTAGGGTGTTCAGCGAACATTTTTTTCCAGCTATGATATTTCTCTCTTACAAGGGAACCGTCTCGCGGGTTACGATTCCGTATTAACCATGGAAGTAGATCTCGATGAGACTACGAAAAGCCTAAAAGAGTTCGAACCCATGGCCTAATTTCCAAAAAATAGCCACATGAAGGACATAATGGTCGAGTTTACCTGTAAATTCAATATCTTGCGAAAGACACATTCGTTGCTGTTTCAGGATATTCTAAGGACAATTAGGTCTATCTACAGACAAGATTTTAAATCAAAATTCTTTAACTCTTTCATGGCTGAATAAATTTTTTCGGTGAAGATAAGGTCGACTTTTGTCGACAGCTGACTTCAAAGAGTTAATTCGTTTTTTTGGAAAATACCTTGATATGCCTCAAAAATCCAGTAAAACAACCATAACTTTTGACCAGTAGGCTATGGATCCGAACTCTTTTGAGCTTTTCTTAGTGTCATCGAGATCTACTTCCAATAGAAGACTTCCATTGTTAATACGAAGTCGTAATTCGCGAGACAGTTGAGGCGGTTCCTTCGGTAGAGGAAATGTCTCTCTATATAGGATAAATTTGAATATTACTCGCGTTCATTCAATACACTATTAGAGTTACAAGTTTAGTTCCGTAATTTTATTTAAATAACAAACGTTCCGATCTCTTTTATTGATGCCTTCGTTAGTGACATATTTTACTTTTCGTTATTGCCGTTATATATAGAATATAAAATGAATTTAGTTAAATCTATTACCGTGTATGAACAAAACTATCACTGAACAAGGCCTTCGTAAAAGAGGTTGAAGCGTTTGTTATTTAAATAACTAAAGTATCTACTTGTAACTCTAATAATCTTTCTATTTCGTATCAACCAATTCTAAGTTTCCATTTAATACATATTATGTTTCGTTCTAAAGTTATTTATTCACTTTACGAAAGGTAACATATGCATGTACTGTTAGAGAGACGGAAACAAAGTCAAGAAAACTTGTACAGTATTATCAACAACAAATGGATAGCTGTTAGTCATCAGCCATATGCAAAAGTTATAGAAGAGAAGAAACAAGCCATATTTTAACTCTCTCTTCCCTCTGTTTTAGTCGAAATTTGCGGCACAAATGGTCGAATGAAATGGTGTCAAACATGTCAATTTTACCGTCCACCGAGATGTTCACACTGTTCGGTTTGTGATTATTGCATTGATGTAAGTCCTGTTAACACAATAGGTACAGGTTAGGGAGAGAAATAACAATGTAGAATACATTTTGAATAAAAAACAAAATAACTTCGATGAATTATATCATTCTGACTTCTTCTTACGGATGAAAGAACTTTTTCAGCGGCGTAAACGTCGATTTATTGTTATGCTGTCATTAGTCAGATGTTGCATGTTTAATTTTTCATATTATTTTACTACACTTTATAAATATTTATATCTCAATAATCAATGAAAGTGCCCTTTACTCAAAAACGGTTTTACCCTGCATCATATACGAGTTTATTATTGTCTTAAGTGTATTGTGAGCGAATTCATTGATTATTCGAATGCAATTGTGCATTAAAATAATCATCTGTTTACCACTTGTTTCTTGCACCAAGCACAAGGGAATGAAAGAATGCTGTTTATTAGAAAATCGTACAGATAGAAAATCAAATATTGTTTCTCCAGTAGAAGAAGTTTAGTATTTGTCTTCGTTTTTTCAGGAAGACAAAATGACAACATTGGGTAATCGGCAAGTTTATGCTTCTATATACCCTTATCAGCTGATAATTAATTTATACTGTGAACAAAAAGGCGTTTTTTTGCACTTTCGTTCGAATTTTATGTTTTCTTGTTGATTGATGAAAATATTTGATTTTTCTTTCTAGCAATTTGATCATCATTGTCCATGGCTAAATAATTGCGTTGGACGTCGTAATTATCGTTATTTTTTTCAATTTTTATGTTATTGTATGTTGCATATGTTCAATGTGTTCAGTTTTACACTTTATTTTTTTATTATACACGGTCGATTTCATTTGACATCGATATCAACTATCTTCTCGCTTATCCTTCTTATATTTATTATGTTATTTACTATACCTATTTCTGGTCTCACTGGTTTTCATATTGTTCTTATTTGTCGTGGACGAACAACGAACGAACAAGTGACGGGAAAATTTAAAAATCATACAAATCCATTCGATGAAAGTTGTTGTACAAATTGGTTAAAAACACTTATCAGTTCAAATATACCAAAGTATGAAAAATTAAACTTTATAAAAGTTAAAATAATTAGACACACTGCTTTAGAGAAATTGTGTTTGTCCATACACTATCTTATACGTTGGTCCCAGATATATATGGGCTTCGATTTGCATACACTTTTGACATTTTCATAGATCGTAGTATTCATATAGAAAAATACTTAGCTATGAGTGATACAAAAATGTGTACGCACCATAGCAACAGTTGCATTTATCGATAAGGGTTTGAAGATGTAGTATCTGGCGATAGTTTGAATAGAAACAAATGAATTATTGATCGACCATAGTACAATTGAGATTACCCCGCATCTACCCGTTTATTTAAGTAATTCTTATCTCACGAAGGGATCTCACGAACTGTCACATCGCTTTTTCAGCCAAATCTGGTAGGTTATAAACTATCAACTATGCTGAATCCGAATATCATAGTGGTATCTTCTCAGGAGCCTTCAGAGAGCGCTTTTCTGGAAAACCAGTTTTTCAGAAACTCTAAAAAATAACCAAAACCTTTCTTAACAAGGCATAATTGTAGCCCGCAAGTTTCTCTCTCCGCACGACCTCTCTGTGTAAAGTTATAAGGTTTACAAGAAAAGTTTTAAATTAATTTCTTGTTTCTGTAGCCTTGAGCTGATAATGAACATTTAGAGCTTTTCTTGTAAATTCTATAACTTTGCAACGAAAGGTCGTGTAGAACTGGGCGATGTCTCGCTTTAATCAGAAAGTTGCACGCTACAATTATGCTTCATTAAGAAAGGTTTTGGTTACCTTTTAGAGTTTCTGACAAACTGGTTTTCCAGAAAAACGCTATCTGAAGACCCCTGAGCAACTACCACTATGATATTCGGATTCAGCATAGTTGATAACCTATAACTCACTAGGTTTGGATGAAAAAGCGATGTGATAGTTCAAGAGGTTCCCTCGTCAGTCGCATACTCTATTACTTCAATAAAGGTAATATGTTTTTGTTTATTTTATTTTATTTCAAGATTGAGGCGTGCTGTTAGAAGAAAATCACTTACTCCCTCAGTAGCTCCACAGGTAAAAAAATCTCGTACGATCGTCTATGAACACTCAAATCTTAACAAAAAGCCTCAGCCACAAACATTATACGTGCCACCAACGTCGAACAACAATGGAAACATGACAAAAACTAAAGTGAGCCATCTTTCATTGTCATAGTGCGTGCTCTAAGATGATTGACATTCACTTTAATTGTAGGGAGTTTATAAGCAAATAACCATGACATCTGTTTGAGATAATGTCAGAAGTTTGTTATCTAAATAAGATGTCAGGTTATAGTAAAGGTAAATTACGTGAGAACCAAGTAATGTTGTGCTGTGATGGATTGCTTTGCTTTTAACTAATATCTGCTGTTATTTTGATTTTGAATGCACATTTTCAGACAAAAAAGTAGCTGTATTCAGTGTTGAGCGACAGTGTTTCTGATAGAACTCCAGATTTCGATCCGGAGAGGAGAAGATTTTAGCAATTAGCGATAGACTTTTTCTGAGTAACTACGTTTCACTCTTTAAAGATAGTCACTCTCTATTCGGGAGTGCTCGAAAGGTCTTTCGGTATCTTCGTCGTAGTTACTCGGTTGAAAAAAGTTTGCGTATATCGCAGTCTCACTGCAGATGAGGAAAGTACTCCAGATGTCCCATTGCTTTTTACATGGATAGGAGAGATAGCCAATAATCCTGATCACGAATTTGAGATTACCATCTGTGCCATATCTGGATCTCTGCTTAGAATTTACGATGGACTCTCTAGGCTTGAAAATTAAATTTTTTATTGGGTCAAGATGCTGTTTATAGCGTTAGATTGTAGAGGACATCGAATTACTCATTTTTCGCCAAGTTTTATTGGCATCATAAATTTTTCAATGAAAATATCGAATCACATCTCAATTCAAACTGAATTTTCTGGTTTTAGAGGGCTACATGACAAAATCCTGAACAGCGATCTAAATACGAGCAGAATATAACTCTCAGATTAGGACCATCGATTATCCCTACTAATGTATGTTTTGAGCATAAAGTGGTGGCACATCTGAAGCCGTTTTCTCATCAGTACCTGAAAATGACTTCCAGCAAGTTTTTAAACAAAGTAATAAAATTTTGCTCCCTTCTTCTAATCGAAACTGCTACTGAACGAAAATATCTGCTATATTCGTCTACAGAAAAGTTAAATTATGGATCTGATCCTTCGTCTACTCAAAGATCATAGTTAAACAAACAGTATTCTCTCCCTTTCATAACTGATAAATATCATCAGTTTACTAATCGTTTTCTCATAGTTGAGCAAAGAAGCTCAAATTTATAACAAAATCGAATTTTGAGATAAATACTATGTATTTATTTAGACTTGTTCTACCCACATCATTAACATCCGCCATTATTCTGAGCAATAGAGTTAGACCGTTTCAAATCTGTTAAAACTTATCTTTACCCTTTTGTTTCGGACAGTTAAGGTTTTGTCCGGTAGTTTTCACTAAAAATAAATACACTGTAGTTTGATTCATTTTTTTCCTCGTAATATTTCACTTTGTTGTGGTGATTGATTTGATTTGTAGATAGTTGCACATGTACATACACACATAGACGCCTTCTGTTTGCACTATTATATTTATATTCTACTTTTGCTTATTTATGTAGCGTTTTATAGTGTGTTTAGTTGCATAAATGTCTCAGAGTGACTCAATAGTCTTTTTTTGACAAAAGAGTGTTTATATTGAAACGCAACGAACTTCGCTTTTATTTGATTAGCTAATGCTGTAATAAAACCTTTTGTTTTCACTGAACATTTATAAAGTTACATACTCACTTAGTAAATAATCTATATAGACATGTGTCTGCTTCGCTTCCGCCAAATACATTATGCTTCCCTTTTCTTGTAATGAAGCTAACAAATCGGGTATCTTTTTTGTTTCACAGGATCAATCATTGCTCTCATGTGCTGTAGAATTAGTAATTTCTATAAATAGAACAGTGTTTTTGACAAAATATTTTAATAGAATATATTTTTCTTTCTCTATTCTTAGTCGACTATAGTGAATGGTGATCCACATTTACTTGGTTTAAAGATTAGCCATTTACAACGTCAACCGTCTTCGTCCACTACTCGTCGTATCAACACTCATTATCATCATCATCAGCCGCGTAAACTTCAACGTCACAATTATCGTCTCACTCGTCTGACAGACAGTAATCCCGTAATTAATGGTCTTTCAACAAGTGGTAATTACAAATCAACACAAATACCGTCTAGTGCTATCGATATTCCAACAGTCATGTACTTTCCACCACCATCAGTAAAATTAGTTCAAAAACGTGAAGAACAACAAGTAATACAACGGAATAGTCAAGAACAGATACTCTCACCAACTAATTATTATTCAACACAAAATGTTCAACGTTACATTGATTCGAGTGGAACAGTAAGTGGAGGTGAACAAGGACAAACACAACTAGAATTGAGCTTCCAAGCGTAGAATAGAGAATAGAGATATTCAGCGATGAAGAGAGTTATTTTCAGTGACTTATTTTTGTGCAATTCTTATATTTTTGTGTATAGTAAATATAAATTATTTTTTTGGTTTAATTTTTTGTTCTTTGTTAACAAGATGATATGATATAAAATAAAATTTATCAGATATTTTTGAAAAATATTACTCTATAAATGTCATTTATGTTAGTTGCATATTCTGTCTGATGTAATTTAAATTTAAACTAAAGATTGATTTGTTGGATAAAACGACAATTCGATTTCATTTGAACATCAGAGCAAATCATACAATTTCTCAACAAATAAATGAATGATGTGGATATAGAAAATCTTCATCTATAGATTCAATTTTTTTGATGGAAAAAAATGTTAAAGTAATTCACTCTACTAATGATTTTTTGTCATATTTTCACAAAAGCTCCAGTAAATCAGATGCAGTTATTAATGCTGCTTACAAATATCATGTTTAAAATCGAATAAGATGTTGTTTCGACTGAGACAGTCGAATTTTTTTTCTAGACAGTGAGATTGATCTGCATTTTCAGATTTATTTCTACTATTGTAGGGAGCTCGGAGATACCTCATTTTGTACCGACGTATGTGCTCTATACGACAGAGTGATTTGTAAGAACTTTCTCGATCGAATTCACGCAAGCATATTTCTGAGATTTAAGTTGTTCCATAGACCTTGATGTCAGAAATTTCGATGGAATCTTTATATACATCACACGCGATTGAAAATTCTTTCATCTGTTCAAATCTTTTTTCAAGTTTGTTCTAGGTACTCTGATTGAAGGAAAATATTCAAAATAAAGGTGGACAAATCATTTTTCGACCAATTGTAATCCTTGAAAATTCGATTTGTTTCTCAATGTAGATTGACAAAGTGATTGTAAACAAATGCTGGAAGACATTTGTTTATTTTAGTTGTTAGTGACGTTAGTGATGATGTATTTTTTATCTTGACTATATTTTGGATAAATGAATAGTACATAGTATCATCGATGAACAAAAAGAATGTTTATTAACTTCTCAAATATACTACATTATATTCGGCAGTGTGTACCATTGTCTGGAATTAACGTCTTCATCCACAAATGATTTACTATGAATACTATCAAAGCACAGGCGATCGACAAGTAAAATATCATCTCATGTGAATTCAGAAAGGAAACAAAGATGATGAGGAAGTCAAGTTGGTGTCAAAAAAAGAGCGAAAATTTGTTGATTTATCAATTGTTAATGAATTTCAAAAACGTTCATTTTCTTACTGAAAGTTTAATCAGTCCCGCGTATCACAAATGATTGAATCCGCTATCTTTTTAACTACAAAATGAATAATCGTTGATCTTATATCAACATCTGTAGCAAAAAGAGCCATTGTTAATGAATCATTGATTATATCATCATTCAAATATGAACTTAGTCGTGTAACAAACAATACATAGAAATACCGAAACATTATACGTTCTACGCCAAATGGTTCAAAGATCAACCTCTTCTAGTGATTGACGAAATAGCTAAAGCAGATTTCTTCTACTTGGGTACCAAAAGCGTTGTGTTCTACTGTAATCGTTCTCTCTAGAATTGATCTGAACAAAATAATTCAATCATTGAACCTTGCAGATGTTTTTCTTAGATACAACAATTATGCGACGATGAATGACATCAAAAGATTCAACAGTCAAAAAACGTAACACAGCAACAAAATTTGTCTTGTCGTTATGACTTTTACGTAAAAAGTAGCGTTGTTCGTTCTTCTACATCTTAGTTGAAACGACAACAACAATATTTAGCAAAAATTTTCATGAATAATAGTTCACAATTACAAATTCCAGATAAGAATATATTATCAAAATTTGTCCATTACACAATGATTGCTGATTAAATTTCGAGTGTGTCAATCATCAAATGATGTTACAAAGATTAGTTGAGATTCAAAGGTATGAACTCTACTGCTATATTTCTATATGTGCAAAAGTTAGTGCTTTTGCTATTATTATTATAGCTTGTTTAATTCTTCAGACGCAAATTAAGATTATCGATGATGAAAAAAGAAAATATTTATTATACCATCTAAAAAACTTACAAAAACTATAAGCTGGATTAATTGAATAGGATATTTTTAAGCATTAGTCACATCAGATCTGACTGTTTATTGTGGTTATAGAGCACGTGACTCGAATAAATTTGAATAAATATGATTTTTCAGATGAATCCAAATCAGACGATGCCAAAATAACTGATGAACTTTTTATACACTCTAGAAAAATTGTAGAGTAGAAAACCCTAAAATAAGAGTTTACAATAAAGAAAATAGTTGAGGAACCGTCTTTAAAAGCCTTTTTGATGTTTTTGTAATAGGATTTAGCAGCCATTTTCAAATATCTTTCTTTATCGTGAACCTTTTTTTAAGGATATTTTTAGTCAAGATTTTTTCCCAGTAAGTGCATCCAGTTCAAATATTTTGTGTATTATGTTTATTGGATGGAAAATGTCTGACAAGTATTCCATGTGATTATTTGTCAACCGGTGTTCCCTGCAGATATTCACTTTGTACATGCCCTATATATTCGAATATTTGTCAGAGTTTATGCTTGATATAGAAGACAAAAGATGTGTCCAATTAATCATATGTTGTTTGCTCTTAAAAATGTTTGAATCCTTTTTTTTCAAAATGTTCTAATTTTCAAATATATTCCAGCAGTGTTTTCGATAATAGTTTTAGTGGGGGGTGGTGAGCCTGCTGAGTAACTAAGGTTTTTTATTGAGTTACGCATTTTTTGACTAAAATTTTTTTCTGAGTAACTCAGTTACTCAGAAAAAAAATGTTAGTCACTCAATTACTCAGGTGCATAAGAGCGAGTTTCTCAGCAAATAAATGAGTTACTCAGACGCTAGAGAAAATCACCTACTCAGGTGCATAAAAGGCAGTTTCTCAACTTAAATTTCTTAAAAAATTTCTGAGTAAGTCAATATTTTTTGACTAACTATATCCAAACGAGGGGGTGGTTTGCCATGTGGAAACATACGGCATACCTCATCTATTAAGGGACAAATAACAAATAACTGTCGATTAGAAACTCGTGAACTTTCCGACATAAACAGAGTATTTTTTTCGTGTGAGCAGAATTGCTTTAAGAATCGGGACCATAAAAACCTTCCGAGGCCGGGATCGGGACCGGGACTGAAAAACTTTGGTCCCACTCGCCCACATCTACTTTCAAGAGATAAAAATATAGGCAGTTGTCAGCAATGAATAAATAAGACAGTGACGTGATCGTTAGACAAAATACAAACAAAGTGAACAAAAATGATAACAGTTCTGACCGATATATTTCTTTATACTATTTTGTGAATAAAGTAGAAAAAAATAAAGAAAAATGAATAAATCGTAACTAATTACTTTGTGTTTATGAATACACGTATATGGCTCATTAGTCGTTGAATTTATAGCTCGAAATTCTATGAAACCCTTCTTAAAATTATAGGCGTTGTGTTTACACTTTTGAAATTTACATGAAAAAAAAGAAAATCACGTAAGTTTTTGGCTTCAGTGACTATTGTCTAATAACGAATAATCCTTGCTACCATAATAAAAGAAATTCCTTTCTCTTTGTGCTGAAAAAAGTGATTTGAAAAGAAGAAAAAACCTAAAATAATTTTCTAAAGATAAATCGGTAAAAAATTGGCAGATTGAAAAGTTTAATCCGGGCGACTCGATACCGATTCCAACTCTGACTTGATACTGACAAGTGTAACTTTCTAGCACTTTATACCGGGAACGGTAACCTTCAAGGTGAGATATTCATTGAGATAATACATTTCTTGAGCGAGCAGGATTGTTGTGGCAAGTAAGGACGTTGTTTAGTGTTATTACACATTCATACATTGTTTTTGCAGTATTATATCTCAGAATCGATACTATTTTTCTATCCTTTTTTTTTATTAGTCTCACTCAATCATAAAGAATAAAACATCAGTCATTTAACTAAGTACCTAATAGTTTTGTCAATGTCCGACGTTAGTTATTTCCTTAATTGTTCTTTCTCTTTCTCATTTTCTCTTCAAATGAAAATGTTTTCATTCTCACCCTTGAAATCAGCACTTCAATAAAATATTTGAGTATATTTTTTAATGATAAAAATAAAAAAAATAAAATAATAAATAAAAACGCTTTGTTATTGAATGAATAAAATTAATATTGAAATATAGAGCGCATGCCGTTGTTCACGTCGTTTTTGTTACTAAAAACAAAATGACAACGAGATTTTTTTTTTTGTGATACTCATGTTTAAATGAAGAAATGAAAACAAAAAACATCATTCTCTCTCAATGAATTATTAACACAAAATACATTCATTAAATTGAAATAAGAAAATGCATCGTTTTCATCAAAATTTAGTTCCAGTAACAAACAAATATATCGATAGAACTATCTATGTAAAGTCAAAACAGGATCATCAAGAAAATGTACGTAACATATGTTGTATAATCGAATGTTTCCCTATATAAATTCTTCTTTGTCGTAAATATTTTTTCTTTAATCTTTGACTTGAGTTCAATTTCTATTTGCGTTCTGTTTCAAATTTCTATGCAACAGTTCTGAATGTTTAGCCTCGAATATACACATTAATTCGAGTGTAAATGACAAATGCACCATCTGATATAGAGAAGAGTGTAGAGAGAGTAGACTCAACGTTCAATGACTGAGAAGAGATACAAATAAAATGACAATCAAAATAATAGTTATTTAGACTTTTGCTAATCAGTTTTGATTCTTCGTTGTCATTTTTCACAGAGAAATTTTTATCTCTTCTAAGCATGTTCTCGCTTTCTCATCTCAAGAAATCAAGTACATAACGAAAAAAAAGTAGATAGACAGTTAATTTAAGAGTTTTTCATCTCTTCACAGATTTTTAGTCCATGTTCACTGATTCTTTCTTAGGACTAGAGATCTGCACGGGGATGAGAATTTCCGTGACT